TCAGGCCATGGGGGACTGGCCTCTTCCCAAGAACTTGAAGGAGTTACATTGTTTCTTAGGGCTCACCGGTTACTACCGAAAATTTGTGAATGGATACAACACCATTGTGGGACCTTTGACAAAGCAAATGAATAATGATAACTTCCAATGGGGGGAGGAAGCGACACGAGCTTTCCAGGAGTTGAAGAAAGTTAAAGTTATGATCAGTGTACTAGGATTAGTGCTCCCACATTTTGGGAAATCATTTGTGGTGGAGACAGATTCGTCGAGTTATTGGCTAGGAGCCTTATGCAAGAGCAGAGACCTATTGCATATTTTAGCCAGGTGCTCACAACAAAGGCAATGATCATGTCTAAATGTGAACAGGAGCAAATGACGATTATTTTGGCTCTTCATAAGTGGCGGCCTTATTTGTTGGGGAAACACTTCATAGTCAAGACAGATCAGACGAGACTAAAATATTTGTTGGAACAACAAATGATTATTGAAGAGCATCAGAGATGGCTATCCAAGTTGCTTGGATATGATTTTGAGATCCAATAATGATTAGGCTTAGAAAACAAAGCAACAGCCGCCTTGTCCAGGAGGGTCGAGGAGCCCTAGTTTGCAGCATTATCATTAGCAATGACCGTAGACTGGAAAGTATTGAGGAGGCAGAGCAAGTAGAATGAAGGATTGAGGAAGATCATGAAAGATTTGCTGAAGGACCCGGACAGTCACCCAGGTTATGCTCTGAGGGGAGAACAACTACTCTATCAAGGGAGGTTTGTGTTACCACGGACCTCAAGTTACATTCCCAAACTACTGCATGAGTTTCATTGAAGTATAATAGGGGGACATTCAAGAGTACAAAAGACATATAGTCGACTATCAGCTGAGTTATATTGAGCAGGTATGCATCGGGATGTAGAAGATATGGTAGCCATGTGTGATGTATGTCAGCAGCATAAGTAACTGATTATGACGCCTAGGGGGTTATTACAACCATTACCTTTACCTGAGAAGGTCTAAGAGGAAGTGACGATAACCTTCATTGAGGGTTTTCCACGATCAGAGGAATATTCAGTAATACTTGTCATGGTAGATCGGCTGAACAAATATGCCCATTTCATTCTGCTGAGACATCCCTACACCATTATCTTAGTCGCCATGATCTTTATTCGAGAAGTAGTGCACCTACATGGCATTCCAGAATCTATAGTATCAGATAGAAATAAGGTGTTCCTTAGCAAATTTTGGAAGGAGTTATTCAGGATGCAAGGGACGATCCTGAAAAGAAGCATAGCATATCACCCAAAGACGGATGACCAAACAGAAGTGGTCAACAAGAGCATGGAGACATACTTGCGTAGTTTTGTTTCTGACACACCAAAACTATGGGCCAAATGGTTAGCATGGGTGTAGTATTAGTATAATACATATTTCTATACAACCACACGGACTACCCCTTTCAAGATTTTGTATGGGAGGAATCAACCCCATCTGATACACTACGGGCAGAGCACTACACAAGTTTCCAATGTAGATCCATACTTAGAGGAGAGAGACAGGATACTAGTAGAACTCAAAGGGCATTTACTAAGAGCTCAACAACTTCTAAAAAAGAAGGCATATGAACACAAACGAGATATGCAGCTTGAGCCAGGAGACAAATTTTATTTAAAACTGAGACCATACCGGTAGACGACACTGGCCAAGAGGAAGAATAAGAAGCTATTCCCTTGTTACTTCGAGCCTTATGAGGTGAAAAAGCACATTAGGGCAATAACCTACCATCTAAGGTCACTAGCATCATCATCAATACACTCAGTATTCCATATATCACAATTGAGGTGTGCTATCAGAAATCACACACCCTTTTCCTCACTAACGGCGGCATTGGCTGAGGACATGAAAGTGATTATGAAACTCATGAAGGTAGTGGGATTATGGCAAGGGACGAAAGGAGCAAAGGAGATCCTAATTCGATGGAAGGATGTATCTAATTATGAAGCTACGTTAGAATCATATGAGGTGATCAAGAAGCAATTTCCATCCTCCCACCTTGAGGACAATGCGCTTCTTTTTTTGGAGGGGAGGGGGAGTATTGATATGGAGGAAGTCGTAGAAGAAGGGATAGACCCAACCGACTGAGACAGCAGGGGCTAGTCAAGCTAGAACCGAACTAGGAGGAATCAAGGGGGCTTTCAGTCCCCATGTGGGAATGAACAAAACAGTGATTCATTATGTTAGGAGGAGAAAAATGAGGAAATTATTTAGGGAAAGATTTCCAATTTGAATTTAGGAAAGTTCATATAGTGCTAATTATTTAGGAAGGCTTCCTAAACCATGTTTAATTACTTAAGAATGTTTTCTAAATCATGTTTAATTATTTAGGAAAGTTCTGTTAGTACAACTATGGCTAGATCTATTCAAGGGAGAGTTTTGATTAAGGTTAGTATCATGATATTGCCAAGTTTATTTTCCTAGAGTTTTTTGTGCGTTCCTAGCAGCGTCTAAGGTTTGTGGAAGAGCTAATCTATCTCTCGAATAGTCGATCAATTGTGTCTTACTTTGATTTTGAAGGAGAATAAAAAACATCCATTACATTTGTATTCCTATGCTTTTCTTCTCTTTTGTTTCCTATTTTTACATCCAAAGCGCATCGATATCATTTCAAGCATACTTGTCGTAACAATATACACACATTAAAGGACTACTACATGACACTAAATAGAATTTGATTTTTTTTCCCTCATCCTTCTACTATGAAAGCGAATGTTATGTGACAAAAAAATCAATAGTGATATTAAAAATGTTGCAAAGTATGTGTTTGGAGTATAAAAGGAAAAGCTTCTAATAATAAAAATAGTTGATGGTGGATTCAAAATATACAAAATATGATAAAAAAATAAAATACTCTATTATCAAAATTGGTTTAGATGTAAAAGATTAAAAATTTGAGAATCATATAGATAAACCAATAGAGAGTCTAAGAAAATAATATACAATACAAATAATTTAGCTTTTAATGATTTATATAATATATTAGATATTGAGGGTGAAAGATGCATGTATAAGTTAGCCAAATAAAGAGATATGAAAAGTAAGGATCTACTTCAAGTGAAGCGCATTAAGAATGAGGATAAAGAAGTACTTTTATTAGAAGATATTCAACATAGGTATATGAGATATTTTGATAAACTTTTTAATGAAGATTGTGAGAATATGATTCACTTTAGTGATCTTAACACCCTAAATGAAAATATTTTTTTTTATCGTCATATTAATAAAATTGAAGTTGAAGAGGCTTTATAAAAAATAAAGTGTGCAAAAGCAATCAAATCTGATGAAAATGCTTAGAAGATCAAAGAATTTCTTTGCTTACTAAACTTTGAATATAATTTTAAAGAAAAAAGATGTCAGAGAAGTGAGCAAGTAGTGTGTTGGTTCTCATTTTTAAGACTAAAGGTGATGCACAAGTGTACGAATTATAAAGGAATTAAGTTAATGTATCATATATTAAAACTATAGAGGAGAGTAATTAAGCATAGGTTACCATGAGATACTAATGTTTCTTAAAATTCGTTTGGATTCATGTCAGATAGGTCTATTATGGAAGCTATACATTTGTTGAGAGATTTGATGAAGAAGTATAAAGAGAGTAAGAAAGATATACATATGATATTTATTTATTTAGAGAAAACATATGATAAAGTTCCAACATACGTGCTCTGAAAAGTTCTAAAAAAAGAAATAAATTAATAATGATAATATTCAAATCATCGAGGATATATATACAGAAGTTGTCACTTGTGTTTAAACATAAGGTGGTTTGATCAAGTATTTTTTTATTTCAGCTGGGTCACATCAAGGACTAACTTTAAGCCCTTATCTTTTTACTTTATTCACAGGTGTTCTTACTAGACATTTTACGAGGATGTAACTTGCTGTATGCTTTTTGTTGATGATGTTCTTCTTCTTGATAAAACTAGAGAGGGAGTTGAAGGAAAACTTGAATTATGGAGGTCACCCTTAGGTCTAAAGATTTTTATTTGAGTAAATCTAAAACAAAAAACATTGAGTTTTTGTGTAACTTTAGTAGTAATAGATGTAGTGGGGGACTGAGCCTTTGGGCAATCAAATAAATAAAAAGAGTACACGTTTTAAATATCTCAGGTTTATTGTTCAAAGTGATGGTGAAATAGATAGGGACATTATTAGTAGAATTCAGTTGGATGGTTGAAGTGGAGGAATGCATCAGGCATGTTGTGTGATAGAAAAGCACCGCATAAACTTAAGGGAAAATTCTATAAAATTGTGTGAGACTTGCAATGTTTTATGGCATAGAATGTTGGCCATTAAAAGAGAAACATAAAATTAAATAAAATGTTGCAGAGATGAGGATGCTCAGGCTGATGAGTAGCTTCACTCTTAGAGGCAGAATACAAAATGAATATACATGTGAAAAAGTTGTAGAAGCTCCAGTGGCAAGTAAGATTAGATAGAGTCACCTTAGAAGGTTTAGTAACATAAAACCTCAGCCTTCCAATGACTCGATTATGAGAGTAGATGTATTAGATTTGGCATTTGTTAAGAAAGGTAGAGGTGGACCTAAAAAGACTTGGCTAGAAAGTATTATAAATGATCTTTTTTTAAAAGATGTAAATGAGAATCTAACTCTTAACAAGACAGTGGAGAAAAAGGATTCATGTATCTGACCTCATGTTGTGGGGTAAAGGCTTGATGTTGTTGTTGAATCCTTCCACTATGAAAGAACATTGAAAATTATTTCTAACATGCAAAAAGATTCCAATAGCTGCATTGTAACAAGCGCCTGATGTGCTGACACTTAAAACCTTAGATATAGCAAAATCTTTTATGCACGCAGACAATCAAGCTCATTCCTCCATAAGTTCTATTTGATAATTGCAACTGATCAAACAAGCTCACGCCAGTTCAAGTACCATATTACTGTGTGCAAAAACAATAATCAATATAATTACAAGTGAATTCTTTACCTTGTACTCGTGTAGATCCACAATCATTCTCTGACATCTTAAATTCATCTCTAACACTCTTTAGTTCCAACTTCAACTTCTCACCTGAAGACATATGATCTGGATGAAAATACTGCATTGGGATGAAATAATATTTGTGAGTTTACAATTTCAATCAATAAGCATTGGTAAAATAGCAATAATATGATAAATATCCAATCACTACCGACATTTTCTAGAAGGTGCTCTTGCGGGGGATTAAGCATGAAAGTTGGCTTTCCTTGACGACCCAAGTTGGCAAATAAAGAGAACCTTTGCACTGCTCAGATGAAAACAAACCTCAAATTTTCAGTAATAAAAATCAGACGGCATCACAGAAAAGTATAAGCATACAGAAACAGTGTCAAATACTTACTATTTGCCTTTTTCGTGGCATTTGAATCCTTGAGCCTTTCAAGGCTCTCCCTGATATCTCTAAATGATAGTCCACCCATCTTCGATTCCGTCTCCTTTTCCTCCAACTCCCTAAGCTTTGCAAGCCTCTCATTCAATTCAGTAAGCGAGAACCACTCACCTTTTTTTCCATCCTTTACCGGCCTCAGCCTCTGCAACTTCTCCCCAAGCTCTTCATAACCATACATCTTCACAAACTCCGTCCTCGGAACTTTCGGTTCCCCCTCTTCTCCTTCCCCCTTCTTCTCTCTCCTTTCCTTCCCAAATATCGAATCCGGTAGCTTGTCAGTACCGATGAGTTGAGGCCCCCTCCCACCGTCTACAAGCCCCTCTCTCACGCCATGCTGGAAAGCCCTGATGTTGAAGCTGGAGCTCCGTGCTTGGCCTTCATTTTCACGAGATGAAGCCCGGAATTTCTTGAGGCTCTCCCTAATCGAATCGAAGGGAAGTTCCCTTCCAGCATCGGGCCCAGTGGCACCGGCACTGGAACTGGGCTTTCCAAAAACGTTGTTCTTGAGAAGATCCTGGAAGGAGAGAGGGGCGCCAGAGGATGGGCGGTCGGTGGAGGTAGAGCCGCCTGACTTGAGCCGGAACTCAGCGAGATGCTTCCGAATCTCTTCAAGGGAAGCGGCCGGCGGGGACTTACCGGCAGCGGAGAATGCAGCGGGAGGCGGAGGATCTTTAGGAATGCGGCGAGGCGGCGATGGAGGAGACTTAAGCCGCTCCTTGATGTCGCTAAAGAATGAAGAGTAGGATGGAGGAGATGGAGGAGATGGAGGGGAAGATTCACCAGCGCCAGTGCGATCAGGCGTAGGAGGCTCGCCTGCGTCCAATGAATCATGGTCCTGTGGAGGAGGGGGCGATGAGGAGGATGAGGACGATCTGGAGCATGGAAAAGATCTAGATGAGAGGTTTATTAAGGGTTTGGGTTGGAGCTTGAGGTGGCGAAACATGACCTCTACCCTGTGTATCGTCTCTAGGGCTTGGCAAGGAAGACGAGAAGAATAAAAGAGAGCGGTTCAGCCCGACTCATCATTGTCGAGCTAAATTTGGACAAATTAAGGGATTAATTAAACTAATTTTAATTTTGAAAGATAATAAATTAATTAATATATTATTTGAATAAATATATTAGTTAGAAATAATTATGCTTAATTATATTAAATTGAAATTAATTTATGGATGATTAATGTTGTTAGAATAATTTATAGATAACTATGAAAAATTATATTTGTTATTGTTGGCAAAAATATATCACATTAGGTGAGCTTTATAACAGTAATGTCCAATCAAATGTCAAAGCCTGTCACATTATGTGAGTTGTATATCATTAATATCGAGTCAGTTGTCCAAATCTGTCACAGTAATTGAATTGTATAGTCGTAATGATCAATTCTTCAAACATGTCATATTATGTGAGCTGTATAGTAGAAATCTCCAATCAATTCTCTAAATTGATATACAATTAATAATTTTGTAAAATTGAAATTTTGATTTTAGTTAATATCACATAAATAAGTATATGAATTTTAATATTGATGGCCATTTCTTTCTAGGAAAATAGTTAGATAAATTAATTTATAATTATGCTCATTAAATGTCTTAATAATAGTTAAAGAATATTAATGAATTAATTTTAAATTTGTTAGCCTAAAGTTTCATAAATTAATTTTTTATATTTCACTTATTTTATTATAATTTGTACACTGTAACTATACCTAAATATGTAATTAACTTCCCCAACTAAATAATATTGGTAATTTTTATTTTTCTAATCGCTTCACTAAATTAAACTAAATGCTCTAAAAAACTTAAAATGAAATTTAAAAATAAATCAGTCTAATATTCACTATAATCATATACATAAAAATATTTCACTATAATTATTATTCATCAAAATTCTCTTACAATAATTAAAAGTTCAATCAATACATCAATCTAATTTTCAATACTCCTGACTATATAGAAATAAAGCAAAAAGTATAAAAAATTTAATCTAAAAGTTTAAAATCAAATTGGCCTCACTCCACTGGGTCACTACTCGAATCTAAAGCATGAAAACTATAAAGTGAGCTAACAACTTAATAAGTTATCAAAATATATAAATGCTATCAATTTATTGCAATAAAAATAATATGCATGTAATCATTCAATCCAAATCAGTGTGAATAAATAGCAATCACTATAATTAGCATGCATCATCATGATTAATCAACAAACAATACAATTCAGCATAATCAATATGTTTTGTTAGTTTTGTATTTGTATCATTTGCAGTACAATGTTATGAAAAATATGAATTTATGCATATATCATATATGAATCTACATCAATCAGTTATAATAAATAAATATTATCTATATGTCAAGTCATATGCATCAACATGTCTATCATGTAATATCATGTGTCATATGTTTATATATATGTGTATAAATCTATATCAATGCATATATATCATCTACATGTGCTTTATATCAATCTTATTATATGCTTGTATCAATCATATCATGTATCATATTAATGTTATGTCATATCACTTGTGCATATATCATATATAATTATGTGGTGTGCATATGTCACATAACAATAGTAATAAGCAAGGCAAGATATCTAACACTTATGGTGCTTTGCTATTGGGGATGAGGAGTAAACCATCAACAAAAAAGCAAACAGGAAAATTAAAAAGCAGCGAAAAGTAAGAAGACACTCGAATTTAATATGAAAAAATTCAAAATTGGGAAAATATCACGAAGCCATACCACACCAATGAATGCACTATGAAAATAGGATAAATAAGTACAAACATCTCCTCTCTTACTCTCTCCTTCCTTCTTTTCTCTCTTATATCGTTCTCACAGTTCTCTAACACTAAACATAAGAGAAATAGAAGTTAATAACACCAAGACACGTAACCCTTTAAAAAAACAATAACAAAAACTATCAAGTTCACCTCACAGTACTAAGATGCTCAAGCCTCTGTCATCACGATACTGTTGCGCTCAAACCCGCAGCATTGCAGCGTCATACAACACTGCAACACTGAATCTAGAGCGCTGCGACACTCAACTCTATAAAGCGTTGTGGTGCTCGAAACACAATGCCAAGGCACTCTGGTACACAACGCCGAGGAGTTGTATGAAAAAAATTCTGGTGCTTTTCACCTGAACCAAAGGGGTAAACCCTCGCACCACCCAACAAGCATGATAATTTGAACTAAGGTCCGAGGCAACAAAGCAACTTGATTTATCAGCCCAAATAAGATTCCACACAAAGTGAACATTTACTTATATCAAGTCATGTTGGCCTTTCATACCAAACAAGAAAGGTTCTCATATCATATATCATAAATTAGGTGACTTTCATGTAAGAAGTGTCACTTCGTGCCCATCAACATATCATATCATATCAGTCAATCTATTTATGTCTTCTTGTTATATCTTTTAGGATTACACCACAAATCTTATTTAAAGGGAAGTTATTTAGCCAGCTCTCTTTTACAGGGTAACTAGTATCAAGTCAACCAAAATCGATCAATCATTTTTAACCAATCTTTATTATTTTTGCACATGTCATATCATGTATATCATAATAGCAGACATCATTTGCACATCTCATATATCATAACTTGTAAATCTATATATCTAGTGTGCTCATTAGTATACATGTATTATGCTAAAATGCATATTATATCAAATGGAAAGTACCTTTACGCATATCATATATTTCATATTTAGATTTAGTACGTTGACTCATGATCATTTTATACTATTTATAACTCTACTCATTTCGAATAAAATTATATATATGCAACATCAGCCAGTGAAATCTCATATAAGCCTATCAAAATGTTTCGGATGATAACATCTACTACATATGAAATGCTATAAGGTAGAAATGATCTACATCACAAGATAGAGGCGGGCTTTTAACAAATTTAGGAGATATAATTATGACGATAATGTGCTTTTAAAATCAGAAGATAATAAGCCCTTCCCAAATAAAGATAATAAATTATAATTCAGAAAGTTGTGAAACAAGTAGATCAATCCATTCAATTATTGAACCTTTATTCAATTGATGACTAAAATATCATTAATCCTAAACACAAATATTCATAAATGTTTACTCTGATGTATGACTTAAGTTTTATTTTAGATAATTTTCCTATTATTTTATTTTTCAAATTACAATCCTAATTTTTATTTGGCTAATTTTTTTTCCTGTTTTTAATAATTTTGTTATGATAAAAAGTTATTTTCAAGAACAATTTTCTCCAAAAAACTATAGACATCCCAAATAAACCCTTGATATCAAAGGATATTTTTAATTGATTTTATATTTTGTTAGAACATTTTGTAGCAAAAATAAAAAACTATCAGCTTTCATTAAAAATATTTATTTTTACGGGTAAAATGCTCTCATATCTAAAAAATTAATCAGTATCATTTGACCAAAAGAACAATTTAATCAATTTCTTTAGAGAATAACAAATCCCTTGAATCAACATCAGAAATGTTGGTTTTGAGAAGAATAATATTAATCTTTCAACCAAATTTCTTACTGCAATGATGGTCAGCTATTAAGATAAATGAAAAATTAACCCATACTAATAGTATTATTAGTGCAAATAAAGCATTAATGACTAACAATGCTCCTGATATTAATATATATTCTATTTGAAAAATATTCACAAAAACTTCAAATTAAATTCATTTGGGATAACTTTCTTATTGCTTCTTACAATAATTTTTTAATTAAAAAAATCAAAATATTTGTACTAAAAAATTAATTTAATAAGCATTAAATAAGCCATGCCACACAGAGCCTAAAAGAAAATGCTTTTAAAAAATAAATTACTTTCATATCTAAGAATATATTTATTTGATTGAATATTATGGCTTTATTTGAAACTATTTTCTTACTACTTCATAAAATAAATTTTTAATGTAAAAATTAAATTTTTATATAAAAAAATAATTTTAAAAATGGTAAGAAAACCATCCAAATGAAGCTTAAGTCATTATAAAATAATATTTTGAGCCAAAATCTACTATAAATAAGAATATTATTTTTCATTCAAGGGTGTTTGAAAATTGAGAGTATAGTAATATACATTGCCATCTGGTGTGCACCTATGAGATTTTATTTCTTTGTAATTAAAACTTTTATATAAAGTAGTTTTTTTTTTTTTTTTTTTTTTTTTTTTTTTTTTTTTTTTTTACTTTTTAGCTATAATTCTGATATCATATGTACAATTTAGTTCCAATATAATCCTCTGATCATTTGTATGTAGCCAATTTAGCCCTAAAATAGATCTCAATTTAATCTCCAACTAACTATTTGGTATTAGTTTTGCATAATCAATGAACTAAATTGGAAAAAATACAATACTCTGATTAAATTGGCCACTATTCCAAACTATTTTGAGATTGTTCAATATATATACAAAATTCCTAATCCAATCAATGACTACGATAATTTTCTTACTGTTTTCAAAATCAGCTTTTGAGTATAAAAATTCTTATAATCAGAAAATTTTATACTAAAAAATTGCTTTAAAAAACAGTAAGAAAACCATTCCAAACAAAGCCTAAATCCAAACCTATTATGAAACAAAGAGAAATTAATGGTGGAATGGAAGCTTTCCTGTAGAGCCGATTTATAGAAAGGAGAATTTTCCTAATAGAAAGGAGTACTATAAGATTTCAGTTCAAATATTGACCTCACGCACATCATTCTGCCCAAATGGTGTTCCACAACCAGGGCACTTTCTGTGACGAATTTCCAGGTTCCTTTGAATGCAGGGATTGCAGAACAGATGAAAGCATTTAGTGATGACAACCTACAGATAAGACAGGCTTTCATGAATCCTGGAAGCCATTTTTGCTTGATGAATTAGAAAAAAGGAAGAGATTTTGAACTTAACCTCCTTCGGCCGATCAAAACAAACTCCACATTTCAGTATAGCCTTACACTCCTTGATCTCTTCCTCGAGTTTCTGAATGGCTAACTCCTGCCTTTCAGGGCTCAGCTCCATGACTTCTTTCTTCAGATCTTCATATTCTTCCTCCAGTTTTTTCCTCTCATTGCTGTCTTTGACAATGAACAGAATTAGTAATCTTTTTTCTAAAACTAAACAGAAATGAATCTATCCAAATGCAGATATAACCTTTCTTTCTCCAACTCCGTTTTCAAGTCAAGAATCCTCTCCTGGTTGCGTTGATGTTCCTTCTCGGTGATGTCAACAGCAGATTTCAGCCACTTTAGCTCTTTCTCAGAATCTCCCAGCTCTAGCTTTGCTTTATCCAGGTTGATGGCAATGTGCCTGTTCTCTACAGAAGTTTTGGCAGCTTGTGCAAGGTATGATTTCATCTGGTAAAGTAATTTGGTAAGGAGGAGGAGAAATAAGATGTTAGAAGAGAATAAGCATAGAACAAACCTGCTCTTCAACATGAGCTATTTTGGCTTTCTGTGACTCCAATGATGAATTAACCTGCTGAAGCTGCTTTGCCTTGGCTTGCTTTTCAGCGAGAAGAGAGCTATATGTTTGTTTCATCTTCACGCTATCGGATACTAACTGCCATAAAAATCATTGAAATAAATGGCACTTGTACAAGATAACACGGTTGTAAGGCTCACAAGAGCTTTAAAAAGAAAGGGCCAACATTGAAGATGATTAATAAAGCAATAACGAATAAGGCCTTCATGCAAAATTCTCATAAACATAGCCATCAGTTTAAAGCATCATAAGATACTGGAGAAGTATGGAGAAAAGCGAAATCATATCTTAATTGAAAACAGTAAGCCAATCAATGTTTTGCTAGGACCAGATTCAGGAGCAATAGGAGGGGGAAAAGACCCAAATTTATAAAATTTAAACCAGGCCCAATCCTTCCTCACTACAGGACTAAGGGCATGATATCATACACAAAATAAGCTTAAGGCAGCTCAAGAACATTCAAGATTTAAAAAATAATGAATTTTATAATAAGAACAAGAAACATAGCAATTCAATAAAGCTCAATTTTAAGACCAAACTACCAAGCCAGGCTTGAGCTTGTTAAGGCACTCAGAAGGAAGTATGGCATGCAATGGGATGTGGGTAATGCCGTTGTGCGGTTTGGCAACGAAAGAAGATGAGGATAGTGGGATAAAGAATCCAATCACATCGACCAGAAGTCACAATTTGGATGTAAACCAGAGAAGCCTAAAGAGTAGTCATCATGCTAGAGATGCCAGCCAGTCAGAATGATAAGGACATAGAAGTTATTATCAATGTCTTGAGATCGAATCTTAACTACATAATAAATATCATCCTGTGAATATTGTGATGGGAAAAAAGCATGAAAGGTGGAAAGGAGAGGAAGCCGTGGTTGAGCAAAAGGGCGATGGAGGTTAAGGAGGGAAGAAGGGAATGATATTCTAACTCCCATTCATTTCAGCCCTGACCTAAAATTTTGGAATTGTTAAATTCAAAGAATTGGAGAGGGAAAAAGTTTAATTTTATTGCACAAAATTATCCCTATTGATAAATCTATACAAGATAACTTAATAAAAAAACAAATAATTACAAAATCATGCATAATTGATCTAATATAATCCTTCATACACAGCCAACTAAATATGTAAGGATCGGCATGATCTATGTGAGCCTCACACGGATTCCCTTCCTAGCCGTGAGATCAAAATGCTAAGGGATGGCTGAGGTTTAACAAGTGAGTCTCCCACGGATTCTCATCCTAGCAGTAAGATCAAAATGCCAAGGGACGACCACATTAGCCACAATGATTTCTTGCTCAAGAAGAAATTCGATCCAAGCTGAGTTGAACTCAATGCATGTAAGCAAGCATGAATACACGCTAGTGTGCAAAAAAGAAAATCTACAGTCCCATAGACTACATCTCTCAAACCTTAGGGAATTCAATGAAACGTCATCATAAGTAAAGCAGAACACCCATTGAAAATTTTTTTATGCATTAAAGGATTCAAATCATCCTAGATGAATGGTCAAGATAATGTGTAAAGAAACCTAGTCATTTTATAGCTCAAAAAATTTTCAAATATCATGAAGTTAAATTGACAAATTATTAGGAATGGTTAATAGAATGAAGAAATAAATTGATTTGACTTTTTCATAAGCTCGTTAGTTGACAAGTGTTTATAACCATTCAATTTTACAAGATGATTGACCGCTGGAACAGAAACCAAAAACCCCAAAGAAATTTTATGCAAAGGTTCAAATTGATGGAGATTAATCTTCAATGCTGGCGTGATGCTGATGATGTATTTGATTATAAATAATTTTTAAATACTTTTGACAATTTGATATTTGAACTCTAAAATTCTAATTATTTTAAGTGAATTATTATATTAATAATTTTTAAAATGACAGTTCACAAGCTAATAAATTGAGTCGGCAGTAACTCAAGTATGGCTATCCATTGAGCTCAAGCTCATGAGCTATTTGTGAGCTGGATTGTGTGACGTCCATATTCATTATTCTATTCATAAGCAATGAAACTTCACTTTGAGAATTGATCAGTTGGGCAATGGGAAGGAAATGCAAGCTTCAAATGATGCAAATCCTGTAAGGTATTCTCTATAAAAATTCACTATGAGCAATATTTTAGCTCACTCACTCCACATTGAGATTTGTTTTTTTTTTAATAAAACCTCTAAATAGCAGACATTTACAAATACAAATCTCAATAAAAAAAAACAATAACATCAAGCTTATATCTCATTACATCTGATCGGCTACATGAATCATTTTTCTCCATTATGTATTGTTAAGAGTTAGATTCTCGCTTACATGTAATAAAAATATAATTTCTAATATTTTCTAACAAAGTCTTTTTAGATCAACCTATACCTTTCTAACAAAGTCTTTTTAGGTTTGCCTATACCTTTTTTTAATATAGGCCAAATCTAATACATCTACTCTCCTAATCGGGTCATCGGAAGGCCGATGTTTTATGTGACCAAACCATCTAAGGCAACTCTCTCTAGTCTTATCTGCCACTGGAGCTACTCCAACATTTTCACATATATATTTTTTTTGCATCATGTCTTTAAGAGTGAAGCCACTCAACCACTTGAGCATCCTCATCTCTGTAACACTTAATTTCCCGCTTCTCTTTTAATGACCAACATTTTGTGCCATAAAACATTAAAGGTCTCACCACCATCTTATAGAATTTTACCTTAAGTTTGTGGGATACTTTTCTGTCACACAACAAGCTTGATGCATTCCTTCACTTCAACTATCCAACTTGAATTCTACTAATAATGTCCCATCTATTTCACCATCGCTTTGAAAAATAGAACCGAAATATCTAAAACATGTATTCTTTTTAATGACTTGATCACCAAAGCCACAATCCCCCACTAGATCTACTACTACTAAAATTACATTCCATGTATTCCGTTTTAGATCTGCTCAAGCAAAACCCTTTAGACTCTAAGGTTTACCTCCATAATTCAAGTTTTCCTTCAACCCCCTTCTAGTCTTATCAACAAGAAGAATATCATCAGCAAAAAGCATACACCAAGGTTACATCCTCTTGCAAATATCTAATAAAAACATCCATGACTAAAGCAAAAATATATGGACTTAAAGCTAATCCTTGATGCAATCCAACTGAAATAGGAAAATACATGGTAAAAACACATTATTTTTTAACACGAATAACAACTCTTGCATGCATATCCTTAATGACTAGAATATTAGCATTATTAACTCTTTTCTTTTCTAGAACTCTTTAGAGCACTTCTCTTGAAACTTTATCATACTCTAAATCAATAAATATCATATATAGATCCTCCTCATTCTCACTATACTTCTCCATCAAACCTCTCAGTAAATATATAGCTTCCATAGTAAACCTACCCACCATGAATCCAAATTGATTTTGAGAAGCATTAGTATCACGTCATAACCTATACTTGTTTAATCTGTCACCTACCACTATAATCCCAGTAAACCCTTCCGATCGAGGTAATCCATCAATAAAGTCTATGGTGACCTCCTCCCACACCATGTCTAGTAGAGCTAGGGTTGAAGTAATCCCCTACTCTGGCACACCTCATATATAGCCACCATTTCTTCCACATCTTTATGCATCCCCCTCCAATATAACTCCACTTCCAGTCTCTTGTATGTCTTTTGTACACCAAAGTGACCACAACAACGCTCCCGTGGAACGCTTGCAGCAGCTGTGTGATATGAATTGAGATCCTAGGCATCACAAATCTCCCTTGGTACAACAGTCTCTCCCCCTCTAAAGAGTAGCCTAGGTGACTATTATCATCCTTCAGAATATCTGCTCTAATTTTTTCCAACTTCTCATCCTACATATTCTCCTCTTTGATAGCCTCCCAATCCAACATCAGGGGTATCAACATAGCCAACTCCTGGAGCTTCTCCATGCATCTAGATAAGGCATATATCGCTTTGTTCTCTAATAGTTTTGAAAACCATATTTGATGCTCAGTCACCATCCTCTGCTTCAAAAGGAACTTTAAGCTCCTCTGGTATGTCCTGACAATAAAATGCCGATTAACAAGTATGGTCGCCATTTCTGAATGGTTAACACAATGACCATCAATTCCCTCTCATAGATTAACTTCAACCTTGCTCTGGCTCTCAACACTTGGCTGAAGTAGGCTATAGGTCATTGATTCTGCATGAGCATAGCCCCCAACCTATATACTAATGCATCTGTCTCAACCACAAAGATCTGACTGAAGTCCGGTAGGGCCAAAATCAGTATTGTGGTTATAGCTTTCTTCAATCTCTCTAAAATTTGTGTAGTTGCTTTCCCCATAGGAAACAGTCCTTCTTTAGTTGCTCTGTCAACGACTAAGCTATGGTGTTGTATCCTCTTATAAATCTCCTGTAGTACCCTGTCAAACCTAGGGAACCCCTCAGCTCTCTCCGATTCTTAGGTAGAGATCATTTTTGCATTGCCTCAATCCTGACATGATATGCGGCCACCCCCTCCTGAGAGGCATTAATACTCCACACTGGCCTGTGAAAAACAACACTTCTTCAAATTGGACCAAAGCTAATGCTCCTGTAATGCTTCCAAGACCATCCTCACATGCTCCAAGTGCTCCCTAATCGACTTGTTGTATACTAGTATTCCATCAAAGAAAACCAGCACGAACTTCCAGAGATATGATATAAACACTATGTTTATGAGTGACTGGAAAGTGGCAGGGGCATATATGAGCCCAAATGGCATTACTAAGAACTCGTAATACCCCTCATGTGTACTAAAAGTAATCTTCGGGACATCCTCCTCCCTGATACTGATTTGATGGTATCCCGACTTCAAATCCATCTTGGTGAACACCACTGTCCCACACAACTCATTCAGTAGCTCATCGATCACCGGTATGAAAAACTTGTTTGGCACAATCTCGTTATTCATAGCCCAATAATCAACACAAAATCTCTAGCTCCCATCCTTTTTCTTGACCAGCAAAACTGGGCTAGAAAAAGGAGTCACACTCGGTCTGATGATCCCATATCGGTTATCGATGAGGTTTATTTGACTCGAATTTGAACCTCGAGATTACACTAGTTGACTACAAGTCCAAGGCAACCTTCAATGATGATTTTTAAATTATGCCTATAAACTATTTTATCAATCCAGCATGATATCAAACAACAACCTAATAGTTTGTTAACTTTTTGAGTTTCGACTGAAACCAGCATGTATTGCTTTGCAGTTCTTTGCTTTTCAATAAATGACACAATCATATTGCCATCCCTCATATCACCTAAAAAGTTGCCTAATGTGTCCACCACTAAACCTAATAACATGGCTAATGCTAAAAAACTTGTTTGGCACAATCTCCTTATTCATAGCCCAATAATCAACACAAAATCTCTAGCTCCCATCCTTCTTCTTGACCAGCAAAACTGGGCTAGAAAAAGGAGTCACACTCAGTCTGATGATCCCATATCGGTTATCGATGAGGTTTATTTGACTCAAATTTGAACCTCGAGATTACACTAGTTGACTACAAGTCCAAGGCAACCTTCAATGATGATTTTTAAATTATGCCTATAAACTATTTTATCAATCCAGCATGATATCAAACAACAACCTAATAGTTTGTTAACTTTTTGAGTTTCGACTGAAACCAGCATGTATTGCTTTGCAGTTCTTTGCTTTTCAATAAATGACACAATCATATTGCCATCCCTCATATCACCTAAAAAGTTGCCTAATGTGTCCACCACTAAACCTAATAACATGGCTAATGCTTCCGCTAAATTTCTATCAACTATTTAGAAATACTTTATTCTGAGAAGTTTTTTTTTGCTGAATTCACTGGCTGAATGGGTAAGAATGGCAATTTTCAATGTGGGCTCCACTTATGACCTATTCGGCCAAACTAAATTAGGCTTAAGAGCATATTTATTTTGGGTACAACCAAGAGCCATTTGCAAGAAGAAATTTTTCCTGCAAACTAAGCCATTAGAAAGCTGAACTATTCAATATAGATAATTACTTCTTATACATTATGGTCAACAAAACCTTTAACATATTCAATGTGTTAGAAGTTTGCACCTCTCCATATTAGTATCAAGTTTGGTTCTTTTGTCATAAGTTTCGTGCAGAAAACAAGAACATAAGAAAATAGGAAATCAGCCACAGACCTTAATGTTATACTGATCTCTGTCTGCAACCATTTGAATTAAATGCTGATGTTGAGTCTGCATATCTTCATATGCTTGACCAATAGTCTGTGAACTAAAAGTTATTGTTACAACCGAGTTAACAAATTGACACTGATTAATGGCAAACAACTGACCTCGATTTCAGAAATATAAGCCTCGGCTTCTGCATCTTTAATTCTTATAGCCTCTGTAAGCTCCAAAAGATCCCTGTGCATGAAATTAAACTAAAGTACAATAAGAAGTATTGTAAGCAAATTAGACTCAAATTTATATATATATATATATATATATATATAGAATACCAAAAACATGTTACAAGTAAAATGGATAGTCAGCCATAACTCAATGTAAAGAGCAATTTGAAGGCCATTGAGATTATAAGCCTAAATTTTTCTTTGAAATAGCCTTCCAGTTGTTTAGCCCAGGAAACCTTACAAAACATATCCCCAGAATATCGAACTCTAAGACTTGAGATAACATGATAATATCATCAGGGAGCAATTTATAAGCTGATTTCTCTAAAATATAGATCCAAGGAAAATTATACAAAAAAGGTGCATGCATTAAATGAAAGCCTGATATTGTTTTGGGTAAGCTACGAGAATAATACATAAATAATAATCTAACCTTTCTGAAGCATCCAACTTTTCCTGTAGTTCAGCTATTTCTGCTTCAGCAGCAGATAGCCTTTGCTGGCAAGCTGCCTCAGCCTCATTGGCAGCTTTAACTCTCAATTCAAGATTATGTTCGTCTAAAGCATTTTTTAATATTTCAGCTTGCATCCGGGCTCTCTGTTCTGACTCCTTTATCTCCATTATAGTTCTGAAAGCAGAAGACAAAAGTACACGTGCTGAAAACTAGATGTATAAGTGAGCATTATAAAGTTACCGAATGTTTTCAAAACTAAACAGCCATCACGAAACAACATTTGTCTTCATAAGAATATGGTATATTCTCAGTGCCTAGGAAGAATTCTACATAAAAAAGTTCATCAACAATTCAAGGTATTAAGAATAGTGTCTACTGGTTGGTACACATCCAATGGAATGAGAGATAATTCATTGTTGCGTCTATGCAAGCAAAAACTGGATCTAGAGACTCTCCACAAGTACATAACCACCACAGTCACTTAAACTGTACATCTTTGACTCTTTAAATGATATGTTCCCAGACTTATGGTTTAAAAAAATAATGATTGTTTAGCTGCTTTTGATGAAATTTTAACGCCCTTGGTTTTTCTTTTTTTTAGATTGTCTTTGGGTTCATATATGGTCATTTGTTTCTTTTACTGGGAATTAGAGGCTTATTTGTATGTTTAGTTTTTTTTGGGTCTACTTTAATAAATATGGATCAGTATTGATTAAGAAAACTAAGGCCCTTCTTTCACATTGATTTAGCAAGAGAGCCCTAGAATTCCTGGAGAAGAAAAATTTGCGACAGTAAAGGAAAGCCTAGTAAACTTGCTTCTTTTGAACAAATTCTCATGACTTCTATTTCCTTTTAAGCCTTGGTTTTTGGGGCCATAGATGGTCATTCTAACATTTGTCGGATTCTAAGGGCTTATTTGCAAGTTTAGTTTGATTCGGTATAGTATAGTCATTGGGAATCTATATTGGTTAAGGTTTAGCTGATTTGGATCGAATGAAGTTACAATTCGCCTGAAAGGTTTTTTCAGATGATATTATGCAAACTGTGCCACTTCTTAAACATAGCATATATGTGAAAGATTCAAACAAAACATTAGTCAATCATTAATATCAATTTTCAGGAGTATCTAGGAATTAAAAACATGGAGATTGGGATCGGCAAAATTATCTGCTTGCAAGATCAACAATTACATTTTGGAAAAGCACGTGCTAATTTTCATTACCATGGGCAAAGAAATACTAGAGATTACTAAAATGCCAATGCAACAAGAATGTCCCTTAATGTCAACACCAAATCTAACAGAAGATCATGCTTAAAGAACTTCGTCCTAATAATTTGTACTAAAAAATTCATGGTGTTAAGCAATGCACCCAAGTTCATTAAACATTTTTACATGAACTACATTATACACCCATCTCAGTGTATGTCGCTTTACAATGCCATGAAAAAATTGAAGCATTCTTGTGGTTTTTCATATCATATGCAACAAGGAAAAATATCCTCTACAATGGCAATGGTCTAAGGACACCCAGTTTCAAGTATTGATTTTAAATGGCATCAGTTCAAATCTCATTCTTGACGATCCTACAATTTGGGGAGCCTAAGAACAATGGTATGTTTCATACCTTGTCATTTGGGCTCAACAGTTCAAATCATGACAATAACATGTCTACAAAAATAATAATTAATCTACAAGGAGCCTTGTGAGTAAGTATGACTACTTTTATAAGTTCATGATTTCACCTATGCAGCAAAAATTAATCAACATATAGACTTTGTATGTTTCATGTGGCTTCCATCTGATCATTTACGCAATAGAAATTAGTAATGGGATAATGGAAGCATTCTGACACGGAAGAGGACAACATGCTAGGGGTGGGAAGAGCAATGGATTCAGCCTCCCTTGTGGGGCTCATTCAACCTATCATTACATATGTGAGAAGAGGAATTAAGGAAGGGATTGATTAGAAGATATTTCCTAATTAAAAAGGGCTGTTTTTTAGGCTGATTTGAAGGGGATTAATTAGGAGATATATCATAATTAAAAATGATAGATTTGGGAACTGATTTGGGAATGAATTGGAGAAAATTAATTAGGAGATATTTCCTAATTAAAGGGGGCTGATTTGGGGGCTGATCTGAAGGAGATTAATTAGAATATATTTCCTAATTGAAGATGGCTGATTTAGAGAATGATTTATGAAAGATTTAGAGGAGGGTTGTTTTGGAATTTGTTGTTTTATTATTTGCTATGATTAGTAGGATTTATATTATATTTGTATGGAGAATTTAATTTGAGAGTGTTGTGGTTTTCTTTTTGTGAGGGATCATAACAGCGTCTAGGGTTTGGGAGAGAAGGTTCTCCTCTCGAAAGAGGACCATTGTATCTTGCTTTGTTCGTATTTGAGTTCTTAAAATAAAATATGTTTTTGTGTTAAATCTCTTGGAATTTCTTGCTGTTTTTGATGCCAATGAGCATCAAATTGGTATCAGAGTTGTGTCATGGACCAAAATCGCAATTCTCTTTGCCGATTTCTATTGCGTATTTCCTCCCCGTGGCCGATTTTTTGCTGTTTAAAGACCGTAGTCACTGATTTTTGCTGTTTGGAACTTAGATCTATGAATGGCAACAAAGAAGGTTGATGCGTTGGAAGGGGAAGTGGAGCAAATCAAATCCGAGATGGAGGAAAGGTTTTCAACTCAAGAAAATCGGATGGAGAGACGATTGCTAGGGATAGAAGAGATGATAAAGAAGCTCATCGAGATGCAATCCAAAGCCCCACCGACATTTTCGATTGCTAACCCTCAATACAATTTGAACAGGGTTCCCTTGGCCTAATCGAAGGGAAAGGAGATCGGACGGGAAGGGTTCGATGAGGCGAGTTTCTTCCATTAAGAACCACCGTCATGGCTCCAAGAAGGGGCGGATAAAGGTTTTCAGATGAAGGGACAACAAGAAGAGAGTTCTATGGTGGGATTTATGGAGGAAGTAGTAGGGCGACCGACCACTATGAGAAGCCGTCTGGGCAAGGAGAGTGGACAACCAGAGAGGGAGGTGGATAAGTCGAGCCATGGGAGGCAGATGGAAGAAAGGTGGGATGACCACTCTCGATACACCGTGGGGACTATCAACGAGAAAGAAAGTTGGGGTGGAGAAGCAAAGGTGAGGAAGTTGAAAATGCCGGTGTTTGAAGGAGAGGATGCCCATAGGTGGGTATACTGGGTAGAGAGGTATTTTGTGGTGAATGGTTTAAGAGAGGAGAAGAAGCTTACAACCGCAGGGTTATGTCTGGAGGGGAAAGCACTCGCTTGGATCCAGTGGAGAGAGGCTAAATACCTGATCCATTCATAGTAGGAGTTCAAGGATTGCTTGTTGAAATATTTACGAGCCATTCGGGAATGAGACCTACACGAGCAATTCCTTGCCTTGACATAAGAGTAAGGGTGTCAATTATTGACACAACACGACAACCCGACTCGACCCAAAAAATCTGGGTTAGGATCAACCCGTTTAACAAACGGGTCGGGTTCAGATTTCAATTTTTGACCCATTTAAAAAACGGGTCAGGTCCGGGTCAATTCGGTAATCCGAAATTGACCCGAGATGACCCGCATATGCCTCCGTCCGTTTTAATTTTTCCCGCGTGGGAGGGAATCGAGGGATTTGACCGGATATCGTGTAATCGCCTGACCAGCCATCCCCATCGCCTGACAAGCCATCCACATCATCGAGGAATTGGACCGTGTTAGGCCAACCGTCTCTATATGACTGCTGCATGCCTACGAACATCCACCCGCAGTCAGTCACAGGCCCCGCACGAGGCACGATTGGTTTAACTCAAGATTTTAAAACGCGAAATCGAGAATCGAGACGTTTTTTTCTAAGCTATGCGAGAACGATTAAAACAAATTAATTTAAAATTATAAATAATGATAAAAAATAACAAAATATTATGTCAACTAAGAATTTGAAGATTTATTTTAACAATTATTTGTACTACCAATAATAAAACAACATGAATACAACAATATACCGGAGAGGAAGCAGGTAAAGTTTAAACAGTGGTCGAACAAGTAGTGTTACCTTCGATTCGAGCTCCGACTTCACACGAAGCGTGACGAACTCAAACAAGCGGTCGAACAGGAAGAAAGGTCGTTCCTGAGCACTCCTGCCGGATCGAAGAACTCACTTGTGGTCGAACACGAAGCAGCTCTCAAAAGGGACGAAGCGGAAGCAGCGCGCTCGAAAGATAAGGAATTTGTTCTTCACTCTGAGCTCCGTCGAATCCTAATGAGGCGTCGCCTCACGCTGCCTCGAAGCATTACTCCTCAACGCGTATGCCTCGCTGAAAAAAATCACACGCCTCGTCAAATACATTGAGACTTAAGCCTCAAGGCGCCGGGTTAGCGCCTCGAACTGAGTCGCGTCTCTGTTCGGACGCCTCGACCGCTTTTTTAATCTATGGTTTAACTGCTCGACAAGTCAAGTCACTCGACGTCAATTGGCACAATCCCGCATGCAAGGACCTCACCGGCACCACCTGAGCCACCAGAGCCTACACTGGCCTTCGCGTCGTCGCCTAGACAGTGGCCAACCTAGCCTTGTGCCCCCGCCAATCGCCGGTCGAGACCCGCTCCGTTGAGCCCAAATTGGCAAACTCGCGCGTGATTTCTAGCTCGCGGGTAGAGTCGGGTCCAAGTTGACAAACCTAACATGTTTGAAAAACCGAGTCGGGTTAGTGTCAACCCGTTTACGACCGGGTCAAGTCGGGTTCGACATAAACCCGACCGGTTGACCCGAATTGACACCCCTACACAGGAGGGGACTATCACGAAGTACAGGGAGAGGTTTGAGTTGTTGTCAGGAAGGTTGAGGGGAATTTCGAAGGTAGTATTGGAGAAAAAATTTATGAAGGGCCTCAAGCCCGAAATATGAGCAAACCTTCAATTGATGAGGCCAAGGGGGTTGAAGGAGATGATGGAGCTAGCACATATAGCAAAGGATCGAAGGCAGATGGAGAGAAGCGGTAAGAGCGGGGTTGCGAGAGACTCTTACAGAAGTACCTCAAATTCATTGGCGCCAAGGACCCAGCGGTTCGTATGCATCCCAAAGACATTCTTAAACCTACTTTCCACACACATGATGGTCAATTTAAATTCTTAGTAATGTCATT